TCCTCTAGTAATAACCAATCAAGAACAATTTTAAATATTATTCATCATATTTATTTAAAGATACTTAAACATCTAAAAATAAACACAAATGTTTAATATAAAGACTCATATCCAATATGGCAGAATAGATAAAAACACAACTATTTTATTGTTCAACTAATTCAAAGTTTATTAAAATTTACAGATCAAACTAATGTATTACAAAACCTCAAACCTATCGAACTAGTATGAAAATCATGTTTGTTTTGACTCATAGGCTTGGTAGAGGAACTGATGAATTATCTTCTTATACGAACTTTGCATATATTTATGTTACATCGATCAATGATCTCTTGAATCGGATGATATCATCTCAGAATATTCTTGGAGCATTGATGTGACCTTGGTTCTTTCACTTGAGCTATAGCACCCTCATTGTCGCAATAGATCTCGACATGGTCACATATGCTAGGAACCACTCCTAGGTCTTAGATGAATTTCTTCATCCAAGCAACTTCCTTTGCAGCCTCTGATGCTACAATATATCTAATTCTACAGTTGTACTTTGCTTGTTCCATCTCACAGCTCCACCATTTAACATAAACACATATCCCAACTGTGATTAAAGTTAACACAATCAGTTTGGAAACTAGAATCTATCTACCCTTCGATGCACAGATCTCTTTGCTAACCGTCGTACAATAAGAACATATCCCTAGTTCTTCTCATATACTTTAGGATATTGTTTACTACTACCTAGTGAGCATTAATAAGTGTGCAAAAGTATACACTTTAGCACCTAATTACAACTTTATTTCACTTCATTTTACACATTTCCCAATTCTATATTGAGTCTTTTAGTCTTATTTTATGGTTTTACATTCATTGGAGCTAGGATACAGGAATGGTACTATTTTATGCATTTGGTGAACGAAATGTTGACATAAGCATTGGTGTAGCAAGTGTGTACGTTGTTGCAGCACTGGACACTGGATATTGGCATAGCTGGCTCAATCTCGTTGAGTATTTTGATAAGTCAAATTTTGGAAGGAGCGCATCTTCTAGTACTGATAACAGACGATTTTGATAGAAGATGCCACTGAAGATACCTTAACCTTTTATACTTAAGCATCTTTGGTATTAAGGCATCTTTTGTAATGTTCATTGGTTAATAACCAATGGTTAATATCCCTTAGTACTTCTGATTCCCCTTTGCTAGTATATATATGAGGTAATCTTTTGTTTAATATAGTGCAATTGGAACAATAGAACTTTGTCACCAGGAACTAAGCTTCATCTAAGCTTTAGGTCCTTGCTACTTTTTGATATCATTTTGCAAGTACTTTTAAGTGTTCTTAGTCACTGTCAGTTGCTATAGCAACCTTTCCAACTTTCTTTTTACTTTTCTTGCAAAATTTACTTTTACGTCATTTACATTCAATCATTTCCATTTATGTTATTTATTTTTAAGCACTTACATTCAGTCATGCTAGGCTAATTACCTTAGTGTGGGTGTAAGTGAAGGTTGTGAGATTAAGTCAAGTGTTAGTCAAAGGTTTCTTTGCTAATAGCAATTTACTTCACTATTCACACGTGGTATAAATATTTCGTCTGGTAATCTTTGACAAATTAACACATGTTATTTTATTCATATAAGTTGGACTTAAAATTGAGACAACACAAATATTTTTACTAATTGTATTATAAAGGCTATAAAGAGTCGCAATAATCTTATGGGATGCAAAACTATATGGAAAGAAAGGCAAGATCTGTACTAACTTGGGATTGATGCATCACCAAGTGCACACCCAACATACGGTCTAATATGCACTTCCTTGGAAGGTCGTTCAATTTATTAGTGTTGTAGAGAGCTATTTATGTAGCAATATTCACTGCACCTTGTTGCTAAAATCCAACCTGATCTTGCATCAATACTATCTTTTAATTATTGTTACATTTTAGTATTTGGTTACCAACTCTCTCAAATATATTTTTTCTCTAAATCTTTATTGCTTCCAAAAACCCCTTGTTGAAATCTCATTTTAAAGTTAACTTTTACGACTCTCTTTGCATTTTAAATCTCTTTGGAATGATATTTGATATTACTTACTATTATTACTTGCTTTGGACAATACTTTTAAGTCATGTATACTTGTCAATATAGCTTTTTGAGGGTGTCAATCTCCACACACCACTTTTTTTGCGCCATTGCTGGGGATTTTAGCCAAAAAGAGTCTTTCTTTAAATTACTTTAAAATTTGATATTTCTACCATCAAGTGTTCATTTTTAGTGGTTTATGCCAATGATATCTCACGAGGATATTTTTAAATTAGACCCGGACATTGAAAGAACGGTTAGAAGGAGAAGAAGGGTACAAAGAAATTTGTTGCCTATTCTAGTTACTCCCGAAATGACTCAATTCGAACCTGATCCAAGACCTAATCCAGGAGGAGGTTATTAGGCTTGCAAATTCAAAGACTGGTAGCATCATGGACTATACTATTCCAATGTGAAATCAATTATACCCTGAAATACATAGGCTCACTATTGATGGTGACCGCTTTGTATTTAAGCCCATCATGTTTCACATTTTACAAACCAATGGTCAATATGCTGGATTACCATCTAAGGATCCTCATTTGTATCTTAGATTTTTTTTTATCAAAGTCACTGGCTCTTTCCATCTTAATTGAATTTTTTATGAAGCTTTAAGGCTTAAGTTATTTCCTTTTTCATTAAGAGACAAAGCCAAAGTGTGGTACAACTCTTTGCAACCAGACTAGTCACCACATGGAATGAGATGACCGAGAAGTTTTTTAAAAAATATTTCCCCCAACCAAGAGTGCCAAGTTCATAAATGAAAATTTTCTTTTTAGACAACTGGACGATGAAGCAGTTCTTGATACTTGCGAGAGGTATAAGGAATTACTAAGGAAATGCCCACATCATAACATACCCTACTGCATACACTTAGAAAGATTTTACAATGGTCTTGACACCACTGTTAAACAAATGTTAGATGCTACTACAGGTGGAGCCTTTACTTCCAGTACCTACAATGATGGTTTTGATATTTTGGAGAAAATTTCTAACAACAATGGTCATTGGGTAGAGCAATAATACCCAGAAAGACAACAGACATTCATGAAATAGATTCTTATACTGCTCTTACAACACAACTAACAACAATGACTAGCTTGTTGAAGAACTTAGTTGTCCCTACTGCTAACACTACTGCTACTGCAGCTGTTTCTGAATCATTGCATGTCCAATATGTATACTATGGTGAAGGTCATACTTTTGATTAATACAACCTTAACTATGAATTTGTGAATTATGTGCACAATAGATCTGCCTAGTTTTCAAATACCTACAACTTCAGTTGGAAAAACCATCCTAATTTCTCTTGGAAAAATCCATGTTTAAACCAACCACTTATAAAAGAGCAAATACAAGGTTTTCAACCAACTGTTTCTCAAAATCAACCTGCTCATTTTCAACATCAGTCTAATATTCAAAAAAAGTCAAATCAGCAAGGTGATTCATTAAGTTCTTTGGAGGTATTACTAAAAGGTTTTATAAATAAAAACCAACTCAACAATGAATTATCAAAATGCTAACATCATCACTTTGGAAACATAGATTGGTCAAATAGCACTAGAGTTGAGGAGCAGGCCTGTTGGAACTTTACCTAGTGTTATTGAAATCCCCAAGATACTGACCAAAGAGCATGTGAAAGTTGTGACCTTAAGGAGTGGAAAAGATCTAGTAGAAGTTCCACAAAAAGCCACTGTAGAAGCTGATCAATTGCTACAACAATACCACCTGTTGCTGCAGCAATCCTTCCAGTTGTTTCTAAAACTACAGAAAACCAAAAATTTGCACCCATGCCAAGCATATTAGATTTCCCATTGCTTTTTCCTAGTGAAACAGAACCAAAAATCACAAATCCAAGTCCAGATAGTGTTATCAAAGATCCACCACCCAAAGACCATGTTGATACACCATCATCCAAACCAGCAGATAGTACACCTACTACGCCTACTATCTAAAATCCTAACCTAGAAAACTGGTCTTGAAACCTGGATCAACATATCAGCAAATCCACTATAGAAGAAAGCGGAAATCAAAAACACGATCAGTTTGTTTGAAATTTAGAATTGTTTATATCTCGAAAATTGGTGAAAAAGCAGGGTTAAAGAAAAGCACCTCAAAAAAAAGGGGTTATTCCTAAGAACAATAAAGGATAGTGGATTATTCATAAGAACAACAAATGACATAATACATAACCATTTGGAGAAGACTGGATAGAAAAAATAATGAAACCTGGTAGATGGAGCGATTGAAACTCGAATAGAAGAAGATGGAGATAAAGAAATAATTTAAGAATGAAGAACCCTTACTATATGGAACATTGGGAGAATGAATCGTCACATGTGAATAGTCAAATTGGGAAGCGTATCCTATGAACTGCCGAATCGTCACTTTGGGAAGCGTATGAGGGGCCGATTTGGGAATGAGAGTGTTTTATCTTTAAAGCATTGATAAGTTGTAGTTGGTGCTCTTTATATTGTAATTAAGAGATTTAAGACTTGATGCATTAATAAGAAGTACTATCTGCATTAGGACTTGTATTTAAGACTTTTATGAAGTCTGGTTTATTTTGTTCCTTTTAATTGAATGTTCAAAATGGCTTTGATACCACTATCGGGTTTTAATTTCAAATTTGTAACCATTTACGCAGCGTAAAATTAAATTATTTTGGTTGCAAAATTAAATCAGAAAACTTTTCTAATAAAACCCCATTGGATCAAATGGTGCATTTAATTAAGTCACACATCATAGAATGTTTAGAATTGCACCTTTATAGATCTGACGAGGTTCCTGCTTGAGCACTAAGAAACCAACAACGGTTTCCTCTATAGTTGATCCACACACGAATACGTATTGATCTCTCACCGGGTTCTAGCCAAAAGAACCCTAGTACTAATTATGATTTCAAGGAAACTAAAGAGCCTCCAATGATTGGAGGATGATACCACCACTACAGCTCTAGGTCTGGCCTTGATTGTAGTGTGTTAATATTTAATTAGCTAAATAGGGTTGTAATTCGACCACCACCACCAGGGCCGTCCCTTGGCCCATTACATCTGGGATTTAGAATAGGGCCCCCAACATTTTGAGGCCCAAATTTCACAGGCCCGTCTGAGAAGTCTAGCGCCTAAGTCTAACAACGAGTAACGAAGACGGAAGAACAACTGAACGAGAGCGAGCCGATATCTACGACCAGACTAGACACCTCAATCTCCCCTCTCATCTTTATCTTATCGATTGTCGATTGAATTCTCTAATGGTGAATAATGATTTGGTTTCAGATATGCAACGACAATGACAACAATGGTAAGATTTTAGATGATCTTTTTATTTTGTAAAGTACAACAACAGCCCTGTTGGTCGATTCGGTTTAGATATTTTTGCTATTCGCCTATTCTCAAATCTCATAATCTCAACGACTCAACGATTGGTTTGATCGATTACTCGATTGCTTTTTGCTAGTTTCATTTGTGTTGGATGGAGTTTGGACTGTTGGTGAGTTGGTCGATTACTCGATTCTAACCTAATTCCTAAATCCTAAAGGTGAGATAAAATATGCTTCTAAGTTGCACAATGATTCTCTAAATTAAGGAATTTCCTACAAAATTTTAATGAAGCTTATTTCTATTGTGATCTATTTTGGCACAAAGAATTCCAAAAAAAGGATATGTGTTATAAGTTGTGCGAATAATCTTCATTTAGATAGGTTCATTTGCTATATGTGTTTTGGCACAAAGAATGCCAAAAAAAGGATCTGTTTTGGCACATGATTCTTGTTATTGTATGATTTTTGCGTGTAAGAAAACTGAAAACAGAAGGCTTGTAGTCTACTAGTCTTGTTCACTGTTCAGAATGACAGAATGTCACATAATCTCAAATGATCAAATCCTTAATATATGTTTAGGTTTGGTTCATCTTCTTATTTGTTTAGGTTTGGTTCAAATTGTCCAAACTTCATTCTTCAGATTGTTTAGGAATTGGGTTCAAATGATCAAATCCTTTATATATATGTACATGTGTTTATCTCTTGTAGCGCAATCAAAATCTTTTGGGACTTGGGAGGACCAATCATCAATAGACACCATATGCAACAATAGTACTATCATCATCACTCAGGTTTTTTTGTTCCTTATCTTTTTTCTTTTACTTATTTCAGTTCAAATATGTCTTCTAAGGTTAAAAAATATGATTTTGGATGTCAAAAACGTAAATAAAAAAAAACTGAAGAGATAATTCAATCTCAAAAAGGATCTCTTGATAAGTTTGTCATAAAAGAAGGTTTGTCTTCTCTTGACAATGATCATATTGATATTAATTTGGATGATGCTTGTATTGATGCTAATGAAATTCCTAACATGGTGGATTCAGTTGGCACTCTAAATGACTCCTATGAGGATTTGGCTACAAATTGTAGATGCTGATAATGCTTCTAATGATGTTCCTGATGTTATTGCTAATAATGCTTCTAATGATGTTCCTGATGTTAATGCTAATAATGCTTCTAATGATGTTCCTAATGGTGATGATACTACTAATGTTGATGATGTTTTTTAATTCATTTTGATATATTTGATCCAAGAAATTGGGATGCGTTAGATTCTAAAATGATTGATATGTTAGTTGCTAAGGGTCCTAAAAAAGATTTGTCTGTTCAGAAAGGTCCTAAATATAAATTGTCTAAACGTTTTTCTACCACATGGTGTACTAGAATTTTATCAAATGGGGAGAAATGTGATAGAGATTGGCTTGTATATTCGGTAGAGCTTGATAAGGTATTTTGTTTTTGTTGTAAAATCTTTAAAAAAGACATAAAAAAGGTCAGTTAACAAATGATGGATTTGGGGATTGGTCGCACCTTAGCACTAGACTTAAGAAGCATGAAACAAGTATAGATTATGTAATGAATATGAAAACTTGGTATGATTTGTGGCTAGACTTCAAAAGAATCAAACTATTGACAAGGTTGTTCAAACCCAAATAGAAAAAGAAAAAAATCATTGGAAAAAGTTTTGGTAAGAGTTGTTTATATTGTAAAATTTCTTGCAAAACATAATCTTGCATTTCGTGGAAGTAATGCAAAATTGTATCAGAATAACAATGGTAACTTTTTAGGCTTGATTGAGATGTTGGTTGAATTTGACCCAGTTATTCAGGATCATGCTCAATGTATCACAAATGATGATTTACATGTTCATTATTTTGGTCCTAGAATTCAAAATGAGTTGATAACTTTGCTTTCCAGGAGACTTAAATGTGAAATTATTAATAAAGTAAAAGAGGCAAAGTAGTTTTTTTGTTATCCTTGATTGCACTCCCGATATAAGTCAGAAAGAACAGATATTCTTGATATTAAGGTATGTAGATGTCTCTTCTAAAATTGTTGGCATTGAGGAATCTTTTCTATGATTTTTGGAAGTAGACAATACCACGGGCCAAGGTTTGTTTAATGTTCTAGTAGTTGAATTAAAGTGTCTTGGTTTGGATTTAGATGATGGGCAAGGATAAGGTTATGATAATGGTTCAAACATGAAGAGAAAACATCAAGGAATACTAAGGAAACTACTAGATATAAATCCTAGACTATTTTTATACTTTTTATGCTTCTCAAAGTCTTAATTTAACTTTGTGTGATATAGCCAATACTTGTGGTAAAGCTAGAGATTTTTTTGAAATAATTCAATGTATTTATACAATATTTGCTAATTCCACTAAAGGATGGCAAATGTTTAAAGATAATGTAAAAGGATGGACCGTCAAATCATTGTCAGTGACTCGCTGGGAGAGTCGTATTGATAGTGTAAAAGCTATAAGATTTCAAATGTTAGAGATGAGAGAAGTTTTACTTCAGGTGGCTGAAATA